GGCGCCTCATTGGTGGAGAAAGATTTCCACCAACACCAACAACCAAAAGCAGCACAACAGTATTCAATTTTCATGTGACCCAAATACTTCCTTCCCTTTCTGCTGACTGCTGTAGGTACGTCATCCAGATCTCCTCATTTCAGAATCTGTGTATGTGTGTGTGTGCTCGTATGTGTTTGTGTAGCGCCTGGTGGATAAGATGATTATCTCTACAAACTCGCAGAGAGAAACAGGCAGAGACCACTGATTGGTTCGCCTCCCCAAATCTGGAGTTTAAAACACGCCATCGCAGATGCCCCTGAACCACGCTCATTATAAAGTGGACAATGATAACACAACATGACAAACATGGTGTCACCTATAATTTGTCTCCTAGCGCATCGATTCCCCATCAGGATTCAGACGGCACCACAGGGTATCATGGGACCCTTTAATCTAGCATGAAAGACACGGGTAATCCCTGTTGGAGGATTACTTTCCAACCAGTACTCTCTCCTCTCATATTGCAACTTTAGCGCACATGTGCTTAAGTACTAACCCTCCAATCATGATCTATCCCAGGCTTCATCACTCAGCCCAAGTCTTAGCCGCCAAGGGGACGTGTTTACTCTTGACTCCCAGCGCAGCCAAAAGGATTTAGCAGCAAAGAAACAACCTATGCGAGCTTACATCCTGACCTGTGCTCCTAAGACTCTGGGGCTGCTTCTCTCACATCATCCACTCTAATAACATTAGGTAATGACATTATGCTCCAACATTTACATCAACCTGCAAGGATGGCTCTGCACAAAATCATGCACCCACACCACCGGGCGTGTGAAGCTTCCCCTTGTATTTCTGTACAGTCATGATAACTACATCTGCCAAGCTAAACACAGAAGTGTAAGCCAGAGAGTGTGCTGTATTAGTGCTGTAGCTTTTCAACAACAGCTCCTTTAGAGCAGTAACACTATGGCAGTCAAAAGAAAGTCGGTTATCTATAAAGCTTTAGAGAAACATTTTTATACTCTGGGAAAAATGATAGTTTGCCAGCTGATGTGGACTACAAGGAGCTAAATGAAGTCAAATAAAGTTAGCAGCATGTTGACTTATCTTTCAAAACTTATGATAACTGTAAACAGCTAGACTGGCTTTGTTCAACAACATCCACATAGAAGTGCCTCTAAACCTTGCCAATCAAAACAATATGGTCTGTGCTAGTTTATTGCTGCGTTCCAGTTGTACTTGGAAGTTGGAATTTCTGAGCTCAGAGTTGGAAATTCATCTGGAACGCACCCCGGAAGTCAGATTTCCGACTCAGAAAGTCGGACAATCCCCACCAACACCGACTTGACAACAAAATCATATTCCAAGATGGTAGCGCAGTGCATCAACAGTTAAGAGTAACAGTGAAAGCTCTCGTGATCTATTATTTATTAGCACTTCTGTTTTATTTTGGGGAAATTAAATAAGTGGTCTATGTTGTACTGCCCAACGTCTAACTGTGAACATGGTGCCATGGTGTTTGTAAGACTAAACTACTGTGTTATACGTTGTTTACGTCTGGTATAGCTAACAACAACTAACAACAGCTGACAACCGCTAGCATCAACTGCTAATGGCTAACGACGCTGATAACGCTTATAACTGTAAACAACAGCTAACAACTGCTTACTGTAGGCGTCCATCTTGGTTTCCGACTTGTTAACTGGAACGCCGTCCACAACCCGGGTGTAGTGTCATTCCCTGCTCCAACATCCGACTTCTGAGGTAACTGGAACATAGCATATTTCTTACTCAGGACTAGTTGCTAGCTTAGCGGCTGCTCCTTTAAAATTTTTACCGAGGAGGCCTTGTCTAGAAATGATTTAGGAACATCCTCACAGTAATCCTGAGTGAGTCAGAGACAGAAAAGTTTATCTATGTTGATTCTGTTGCTAGATCTGGCATATTTTTTCAACAGCTGTGATTGGCTGATTTACAGGAAGACAAAAAATGATTGCAGTTGGCCTATCTATAGCATCTGATCTGATGTTTTACTTTTGTTTATCGTAATGAATATCTCTGTTGAACAACCGTCCTTTTAAATTATGCATCTTGCAAACCATTTGAGTTCACACGCCTGCTGCACAGAAACTTCTTCACATATGGATAGTTTTGACCTCTATGGAGATGATTAGAGGAATAGTCAAATGTCAGCTGTTATGGCTCTCCTTAAATGCTCTGACTGACCTCTCACATTGAGTATGACCGCTCTAATGTTGTCGTTTTAATCCTTTTAGTTGCTGCCTGTATTATTCTGCAGTCTCACATTTGCCTTCCTGCGCACATGCTCTGAGACGGGTTCACGAGTAGAAGTGTCACATATTTCCAGATGTCAAACATCCCAGTGGCCTGGTCTCTTTCTTTTCTGGTAGAATTGTGTTGTTACTCTGACTCTGAGATGTGGACAAACATGATCACTGCATGATATCCAGAAGTCATCCTCATTACCCTGACCAGTTTTACTCCCTATAAGAGCTCTTAAGAGCTAAAATTCTGAGCAAACATAATGATTTCTTGAATTTCATGACTCAGAGCAGCTCTTAACACAAGAAATCTTAATGAATACAACTACAGGAGTTTCTCGAACTGGTCCTACTCAGGAAACACAACTTTTTGAATATATTTTATTTTAGCTCTGCACAGTTTTTGGGTGTTTTCTGTTTTGGTTAGACAGAGACAGGCTAGCTTTTTTTTTAAAGGCAATCTACTGGTGTCAGCCTTTCATACAGGGTACAGACATGGCACTTAAATGGCTAAGGCCTGTTATTTCCAAGAAGTCAAGCTTGTCTTTTCAATAAAGCAGTACAATCTTCAAAAAGAAAAACACAAGCACTCTGATACTGAAAATAAAACAACCAACCACTCCTGTTTCTTCAAAGATTCAAGACGGTGAGAGTGTCACGGATTAAACCAGCCAAATAAGCATGAACCATCATCTGTAACATTTAATGCAGCTTCATAGCATGTAAAGAAACCATAGCACATCCCAGAGATACCCCTAAGTGCACCCAGGTGTGCTGCTAAAAATAGAGCTTAGACCTCCTTCTAAAAATTAGCTCCCAGCAAATTTCCAGAGAAGTGATCCAACCACTGAATCTCACATTACAGAAGAGGGTGAGAGAAAAAATACTGTTTAAATATGCAGGACGGAACCTTTGAAGCTCCATCCGCAATTTAATCAGTTAATATTTAAAGCAGGGATATTCTTTATAGAGGGCATTAGCATGCTGAGCTGCAGGAGTGAGAGTGTAAGAGTGGTTGTTGGGAAATGAAGACATGAAGACGGGGATATTATGTGGGGAAATCTTCCCCCACTTGGAAATTTTGATCAGGCATCCTGTTGATCATTGGTATTCAGGGGCCAGCGCTGCCTTTAATAGCTTGTCAGACAATAAATGCAGCAATATTTCCTTTCCCACCCCCCCTCTAGGGAATAGAAATAATCATTATGTTAGGTTTTATTGGACCTTCTCTCTCTCTCTGTATGCAAACCCAACAACAACTTATCCTAAATTATCTTTGGTGCATAAAATTAGGCATCATAATAATAAAGCAGGAAGTGAGTTATACAGATTTGGATTTATGTTTGTTTCCATGCTGAAAAGAAGTATGTTTCAAATTCTGCACATGCATTGGGCTGGATAAAAATCTGCCTTTTTGAGAGAACCAGCTTGTTTCTAAAAGGATTTGCGAACATTGTCCCAAATGTTTTCGTGACTGACGCGACCTTGAGGTTTTGTATGTAATAGCTCTAGAGGATGAGTTTAATTCGATCCTGCTTTCTCTCTATTGTTTCTTTTCAGAATAAATGCCTAACAATAGCTAAAAAAAAGACCGAAACACGGAAATTTTTGAAAAGAAGTAAAAATCTGGAATCATAAGACACATTTGTGATCCTCACATTATCATTCATTTGACCATTGGCAATTTTCTCTGGCACATTAGCCATAAAGCTGCAAAGCCATTAGGGAGAAAACTACTGCAGCTCTGCACTTTGATGAGAGTTAGCCGTGTAGTCTAAAGCTGAAAAGAGGACCGTCTGGCTTCACAGCCTGTTCTGACACACTGATAGTGGTTTGACCTGTGAGTGAGGACAAGCATGAATGCATGAAAAAAAAAAAAAAACACACACACACACACACACACACACACACACACACACACACACACACTTTCAGGAGGGTCACAAACACACACACTCAGACACAAACACAAAGAGCAGAGAAAGAAATAATAATTTGAGCAAATATCCCAAGGAAAACTCAACAAAAGAACATTGTAAGTAAATGTCACTTCACAAAACAAAATGAATGCCCTGCAGAAATTATGCAAAGCACATTGAACTATAATAGTTCCAGCTCGGTTCTCAAGCGGTCACACAATCAAACAAATATGCAGAGAAGGGGGTATGCGTAGACGAAAAGCAATTCTTCTTTTTCCGGGTTGTGTGTCTGAGGATTGAGTCGTCCTCTCCATTTCATTCAAGGCAGCTTTTCATTTCGAGTGCTTCTCAACACACTGCACTTAAATTAACATTTGGTATGCATAATACAAACAGAAAACGTTTAAAAGTGCAGAGGCTCACATTTGATGCGCTTTTCCCCTTTCCTTTCATAGAAAAAAAAAAAAAAAAGCCAATGTTTCTCAGTCAACAGATGGTATTTACTTGAATTACAGACAGCAAATGAGGGCTGGGGTGAGATGCTTTTTCTCCAAGCCCATTGGCAGTCAATTAAACAGAAACTGTGTTCGTAAATCCACTGAGATACCAGGAGAGTGACACAGAATTAAGGATAGTTTTGTCATTCATCCACAGCCAAAATTCAATCGAAAAGTCTTCTGATGGTTGAATGAAAATCTCTCCAGCAAAGGCTTATAATTACCTCTGAAAATTAACATTTTTTGTTTTCTTGCCCGATCTAAACACAAGTCCAAACAGCCAATCTCAGTCAGAGGGCGCAGGAGACTATAGCAGCCTAATTTGCTTTGATTGAGAACAATGCGTTTCTCTGGAGATATGTTACCTCAGAGGGAAAAAAAGAGTTCAATGTGAGAGCTTGTCTGCCGGAGTGAACCTCTTTCAAGCCAACAACCTCTGCCTGTCATCTTCTCTCAAACGTGGAGAGAAACAGAATTACTGGGGCACTCAAATGAACACGCAAAGAAATGGGCCAGTGCTCTGGAATGACACCATTTCATGATTTGCATATGCTGAATGAGGCTAAAATATACATAAGTGAGTAGTTAGGTCCTGCTGCAGTCTCGACAAGCCCAGCTTTAGCTCCAGTTTAACATCTAATCCCTAAAACTCTGTTATTTTTCCCTTTCGTCAACAATTGTCTGATCTATCTACACTGAAATCTGCAGAGTTTCATTTCCTTAATCACTCTCAGGGTGGGACGCTCTAATTCTGGGGTAAAGTTGACCAGATTTCAACATCTAAATAACATATTTGATCATCTTTTAGATAACTTTAGCATCCAGCCTCTAACTAGACAACAGTAATATCAGTGAGACAGCAGTTTAAAAGATACAACCTTTTTTAAATTCCTTGTGATGCTAGTTTGAAAGTCTTAAAAGCTAATGTAAGCTAATTTATTGTTGAATACAGGGAAAGAATCATTTTGCGATCATGAATTGTTTTCTCTTTTTACTACAGATTCGTATATCAGCATTTCTACTGTGGCTGATTAAAACTACAGATTTGTAATGTATGTAAAATACACCATATTTGTCAACTGGTGCTTTAAAAAAGAAGGGTAGCACTTTACAATAACCATAACTTATAAATGGTAAATAGACCATTTATAAATGGTAAGCAGATAGTTTATTAATGTTTAATCATCATTTATAAATAGCATATAGACCATTAATATATCGTACATTTTACAATTTTCAAAAACCTAACCCCAACCCTAACTTTACAATAAGCATCTAAGTAATGTTTATAGATGGTTGAAAAACCAAATATTAACCATTTACAAAGTGCTACTGACACAGATTTTAATCTAGATGTTTTACAACCAATTTTAAAAACCCAATATAAACCTTTCATATATAGTCCATTAATAATTTAATGAAAATTATTAATCATACTTCCAGTGCTTGTTAATGGTAAAGTAACTACTAGCTTACGATAATAAACTATCTATTTGCCATTTATGATTGGTCTATATGCTGTTTTAAAATGATGATTAAACATTTATAAACTATCTATTTACCATTTATAAATTATGGTTATTGTAAAGTGTAACCAAAAGAAGCTTTAACCCTCCACCAGAGCTTTTCAGAAGACACTGACTGTATGACTGCGAGTCTACCTGACACGATGCAGCAGGTCCTCTCAGTATGATAAACAGGCCTAGCTTGGTAATAACCACATACAGAGTGACTGACACATACAGAAAACCAGTATGAGCTTTGTCTCATGATACACTGGGATAATTTTCCTTTAGTTTGAACACCAACAGCTTTAGAACACCACTGGCTGACATGCTGTGTGTTGCAGGTGTGGTAGATTGTTTTGATCTCATCTGATCTCATTTGAGATGGTTACCCTAGCATGAAGTGTTGACTAACAGGTTAGCAAAGAAATATCACGCTTGTATTGTGTTGGCTTGTGTCTGTTCAACACTTAAATTATATTAGTCGTACCTCAGAATAAAATAATGGTAACTTTGGTTTTATCTGGCAAAACTGCCCAGTAAGCGACTGGATACTGAAGGTAGCTCTCCCCTGAAATATGTGTACTGTGTGTTAATTACTGAACTATCAGGGAATGGGATTTGTATCATTTTTTAGAAACACTAAATCTGAAACAACCATTTGACAATAAACCAGGAGCTTGAGCCTCCCACCCTGAACATGGCCTCTGATAGAAACAGTCATGGGGGAATATGGTCAACCACAGATAAATGAACAAAATCAGGAAAAGGGAATCATGGTAATTAGACCAGGTCATTTTCTAACACCCAACCGGACCTTTCAATTTCAATAAATGCTTTCATAACACCTGACTCAGCCCATGTGGACCAAACTGGGGTGATCAATGTCCAAAATATAGCAGTAATTGCTAACATCATCATGAAAATGGATCCCTAATAGATATTTCTCATCAGCCTGGCACGCAATTACCTGCAGTGTTTACAAGCCATTTTAGCATCATATTTTGTGTTTTCAGGCAACCAGGCCGAAGTCATTACTAAATTAAACAAGCTTTAGCGGAAAGAGAAACACAACAGTGACAAAAGCTACAAAACTGTCTCAACAGAACACAACTGAAAGAAACAGCCGTTGATTATCAAGTTTAACCCTATGTTTACATGAAACCATTCAAACATCATAGAAACACAGTCACAGTTTTTGTTTTTTTAAGAGAAATACCACCAAATTAAAGACATGAGATTGTGTGTTTTTATGCCCTTTTTATAAACCCTGATTTTCACCTCTATTTCATCTTACACTAGGAACTGTAATGGGTTCCGCTTTTCGCACTACATTATTTATTTGACCTAAAAATGCTCATTTTTCATCCTTGAATGAACTAAACAAACGTTGTTTAGATTTTTGTACACATTTCCTTTAATTTAGCATGTTTGCACGGATTTGCAGTCTCGGATTTCTCACTGAATAGCCATGCATTCCTTTATATATCTTGATAATGTTCCCATACTTTCCAAAGTCACAATCATTGTCACTGCACATCAATGTGACCTCGAACATGAGGAAGAATAGGACAAACCACTATGTCATTCATGGCTACAGGGCTCAGTGGGGCGTCTCATTAATCCAGAGTATCACCATTATTCCATATGGAATAATGTTGCATATATTACGTATAAAATTCAGTGGTATTTCCCTTTAACACAGTATGAAAATCCGTGAGAGTGAGAGTGCCAGAGGGATATATTCATGGAAATTTTTTCCATTAAATGTCAAACACACTTCACATTCAATGACAAGGTTTAGCATACATTCTGTTTTGACGAGCTGTCCCAAGGATGCACATGACAGAGGAGATTACGCTCCAGAAAGGACACATTCGGAAATCATCTTCTCATATGCGTGGCCTGTTAGCATGAATACAAACGGCGTATACAACTGTTTCTTGTAGAAATACCAGTTTAAGTTTTGTATGCAAAATACAGACCTCTAAGAGACCTTTGCAGTAAAACATATTTAAGCAATTAATTCACCCATATTTGGAAAGCTTTGGCTGCTTTGGTGAGAAAAAGACATTTAGAGATTAAATGTAATACTTTGACCAATCAAGAACCATTTCAAAACTGGTTTCAATACTTAGCATGGCCTCCACCCAATAACAGGGATGAAAACAAAAGTCGTAAAATGGAAACTTTTTATTTTCAAAAAAGCAACAGATTACACAGTTAACTTTCAGCAAATGCAATCCTAACTGAAACTGTACTCACATTCGGGACTTCAAAAATGAAAGGACTCACATACTTACACACAATCTATCTATAATATACAAAAAAGAATACATAATAAATATTAAAATGGCCACAAGAGAAAAAAGTAAGTCATTGAAAACAATCAGTAGAGAGCAAATGTAGGGAAAGTAGAAACAAGACGGTGTGCCTTAAATGTCTTTTTTTCTTCTTTTTTGTACATTTTTTACAAATTGTGCAAGATTTCATACTAAGGCTCTGGTCTTGAAGTGACTGTTGTCTGATCCACACTGCACACGCACACTCGAACACACGCGCACGCACACACGCACGCACACACACACACACACACACACACACACACACACACACTCCCTGTGCTCTGAGCACTCTGTGGGGTGTAGCAAACCGTTGCAGAATAAAAATGGGCTGCTCAGTGTTATGGCCTGTGATGCTCATGGGAGTGGACCAGCTTTTAAAAAATGGACATGCACTTCACATTGATGTGAAAAGGAAACAAAAACAAACTCCCCCTTACTCTTAAAAAAGCGACTTTTCCAGGAGTGGATGAATTAACAGAAAATTAACCCGACAACCAAAGAACATGACAATATCATAACCATTAAGGCAAGAACACCCGGAGTGGCATCAGCAATACTGTAACAATATGATAGTGTTTAGGTACATGGATATGATGAAACATTTAACTACTTCGTCAGTGTCTTTTTTAAGCACAAGGTTGTTCTTAAAAGCAACTTCTTTTGAAAATCCAAACATCATTTCATCTTTTTTTCCTCTTTTTTTCTGTAAAATGTGATAAGAAAATAACAATGCCAGACACTAGGGACATATGGATCGTAAAACTACAAGAAAATCATTTCTAGTTTTTAAGTTGCAACTTCAAAAACCACACATTGTAAATCCCCAGCGTTAAGCCCCCCCCTCCCCGACCGCCGCCCGGTAAATGAAAAAGATATCACTTACATTAAAACCATTTTATCCTCCTTCTTGTGGTGGTGTATTCCAACAGTCACCAAGTTTTGCTTTTACTTACAGCGATTGTGTAGTCTGTTGCAAATTAAAGCATTCATTGTTTAGTTTGGGTAACAAAGAAAAGAAAAAAGTTGTCCTTGCAATGCAACCAGCAACCAAAAAAGCATCTTTACATCTTCTTTTTAGTGCAACTCTTAAAATGTAAAACATTTCCAGTGATTCCTTGAGAGGTATCATTTCTTTGTTTTTGTTCGTTTTTCTTTTTCTTTTCATTTTTATGTTTTTCACACCTCACAGATTCATGAAAATATCCAGAGAAAGAGGTTTTGTTTTCATTGTTTTATCAATCTTTTTCTATTTTTTTTAATTTTTGCTTCTCTGCATTGGCATGGCCTTCCACAACGTCTTGTTTACTAGAACATAAACACAAGAGGGGATCCAGACCTCCTGCATATTCCCGTTACCCTTCAGCCTCCTTATTTGATACGTTTCACGTTAAATCACCCCGGCAGAGCCTCGTGGTTTGCTGTCCACCTTCTACCTCTGAAAAGAAGGGATAGGAGAAGGAGGAGCAGGAGGAAAAAACTGGAGGATGAAGAGAGATAGAAGAGAGAGTGCGCTGTACAACGGGAACGAGCCCAGATCAAGATCAATCAGGGAAATAGAGACACAGATGAGAAAAAACCCACAGCAAAACCTTCATATAACGCAGTAGGGTTCCCGTGGTAACCTGGATTTTCTGCAGTAGAGGAGCGTGGTGCTGAAGCAGCGCCGGAGCTCCCTATTGGAGAAGATGCAGATGAAAGGATTGACTCCAGCCTGGGCAAAGCTCATCCACACAGCTGCCGTCAGGTAGCCCCCAGGGACCACAGGGCCCCTTGCAAACACCCGCCAGTAGCAGGCAACCAGATAGGGCCCCCAGAGCGCCAGGAAGAAAAACGTCATGATGTAGAACATCCTACTAATCCTCTTCTCTGTTTTGAACTCATCCAACACCAAAAGACGCCTGCGGCCCGCTGCATTGCTGTTCTGTCGGATTCCCAGCAAAGTAGGCGGAGTTGGGCCCCGACCAAACCCGGCCAGCCAGTTTGCTGCCGCCTGCCCGCTTGCGCCTGGCCCGTGGAAGGTCCAGTTCTGGCTGACGGCGGGCACGAACTGGACAGGCTTCATTTTTCGGCGATCGTGAACAAAGAAGATGAGCTTGAGGTAAACCAGCTGTGTGGCGAGGAGGATAAGCGCCAGCAGGAGCATGAATCCCAATGAATCGTTCGCCCTGAAGGAGCGGTGCTGGAACGTGCACTGGTCCTCCTCACGGATAAACGAGTACGTCCCTACGTCCAGCACCGGTGGGAATGCCATCGCCACTGACAACGTCCAAACCATGCAGATGACAGCCAGACAGGTCCAGAAGGTCAGCCTCTTGGTGTAGAAACGGTGATGCGCGATGGCCAGGTAGCGTGTGACGCTAACGCAGAACAGCATAAAAGCCGTGTGAAAACAGGACAGCACACCCAGGAAGGCGATCACTTTGCAAGTCAGCGTCCCGTAGGTCCACGCAGATCCATTCTTGACTGAGGTGAAGACGAAGGGGAAGCAGATGGCGGAGCGTAGGATATCAGAAGCGCACAAATCCAGCAGGAAGTAGTAGGGCGCTCGGTGCAAGCTCTTGTCTTTGACCAGCAGGATGGAGATCAGGAGGTTCCCAACCACACCGACTCCAATGATGAAACCCAAAGAGGTCAGTTTGAGGAACGTGGCGAGAGGAGAGACATTCTGCAAGATGGTGTGGTCCCCTGCATGGCTATAGTTCGCCATAGATGGAGGAGGGATCATATAGATAGCGGAATAGCTTCAGCCAAGTATCATGATCTAGAGGTGGCAGGGGGAGGCGTTAGATCCATTTGGCGGTGTGCTTTGAAGAGGTTTCCAGGCATACAGGCGACCTCTCCTCTAAGGCATCCTTTGTTCCTTTGTCTCATCACACCTAAAAAAAAAAAAAACCCTGAAAAATATTATCCACCCATCAGCATTCAGTGCTGCATTGTTTTCAACTACACTTACACAATTGTAGAAGTGATCGGCAATCATTTTCCACTGCCTGACGTTTATTTATTTATTTATTAATCTTACATTTTTTTAAATTGGGACTGGCACAGTGCGGAGCTCTGCCATAGCTTCGCTTCAACACTTGGTCGACAGAGAGGCAGTCAGACAGACAGGCAAGAAAGACAGTGATAGATCTCCATTTATCTTAAGCATTAATCTACTACAGTGTAAGAAGTCTTTATGTGGCTTCGGGATTTCTTGAACAACAGCAACATGAAGGCACAAAGCACCAGACCTCATTAAGAAACGACGCATTTTCACCCTAAAAAAAAAAGACACAGCAGTGGACAACGACAAAAGACCGCTCGAATTGGATGATTTTTTTGGGGGGGGATATTTTCATCGCAAAGTGAGACGTTTTCAGAAATGCAGCGCACAAATAAGCCCTGCTCGATCACACCCTACACCCTGCAGAACAGAGGACGGCTCTCAGGAGCGGCGGATGCCTCGAATAAACTCGCCTCGCCTTCATGCAAAACCGACGGAGGGCGCATACATAATAAAGCATCCGTGTTTTTGTCTGATTAAAGGTTAACAGGATTACGGCTCTCACGTTGATAAGCAGTGTTCTCATTAGGGGCGATTATTGAGCCAGCCTGCATTTTCCAGATCATCTTTTATATTAGTAATTAGAATGAAGACTTGAGTGGATATAATGTGTAATACTGACTCTAAAGCCGCGCTTCCACATTATTTGTCGTGTTAATGCGCGGGTGTGAATATCCAATTGAAAGGGGATGGCTGGAAGTGACAATAACAAGCCTTCTCTGGTGATAATAAAGGATGTTTCACTCGTTGGAGATCATTTTCAGCCTTTAAAAAAATCACAGGTTGCCTGTGGTGGTTTATTATTTTATGTATGTTGTGTCTACTTACGCGGTTAAATGCGTCCTCCGATTGTCTGTCGTGTTTTACGCGCGTCTGAATCCGTTTGATTCCCGTACAATAAAAAATAAAAAATACCGGAACGTAAAATCACAGTTGTTGTATCTGAATTTGCTGAATAAAGCACAACATTGTAGCAGATCCGTCCACTTCCATTCGACTCGAAATATTCCGAAGTCCTCGCTATACCCAGAATCGCAGCCACCACACAAGACAAGGCCAGAAAAAGAGATCGAGAAAGAGAGAGAGAGACAGACACAAAGCCGATCATAAGATCAATCAAAATCCTACCTGTTGATAATCCTATTTTGTATCCTTCCTTTAGGTTATTTACATTGCACAAGTCGGGTTTTTGCTGTTATAAAAAGCCTGATTTGTTGCCTGCCCCCTTTTTTTCCTCCACGGTGAATATCCTCCAGTAAACGGAGCCCAGTGCGCATGCGCCCTGCATCCCTATTTGTGATCCAAGACGCGTCTTGTCTCTTGTTGCAGCAGCAGCAGCAGCAGTAGCAGCTCCCTCTCTCTCTCTCTCCCTCTCTCTCTCACGGTAACATCTGCTCAACGGGGGCCGCTGCTGGCCGGTAACGCGTTATAGCAGCACGTGTCGGCTCCCCTGGTAACACTGACCGTAACTGATCACTATTTCTTTTAACCCAGTTTCCATTTCAGTCGAAATAGAATAAGTCTTGTCATTCTTCTGACCCTAGCTTGATTCAGACCTACTTCCCCACAAGTTGGAAATTTATTTATAAATCGAATAAAGGGCTCCTTAAATTATGCAAAAACTAAATGGGGTTTGGTCCAAGCAGTACTTATCTTTCTGAAAATTGTGTTTTCTTAGGCTGGTGGTGTCCTTATCTGATTTACTCTGCTAAAGACCTCATATACTCTCAATAGCATTTGTTTCTCCAGCTCCGTGTGCTCCTCAAACTGCTCATACATGTTTCACTCAGCAGAAATGTCAGCCACTGTGTACTAAGTAAAGGGTTAAATCAGGCAGCCCAGTTCACCTTAAGGTAGAATGACTTCCCCCCTGTACTGTATATGCATAATTGACAAGCACTTTGCAAACTGTTGTTCATTCAGCCTAGGCAGCATGATAAATTCATAGGATCTGATTTCCCACCCATGTATGAAGCGCTGTGATGTCATGTGCAGTGTAACAAGTGAACAATGATTCAGCCACATGTCCGCACACTGACCAAGCGCTTGTGTGGACAAGAAAACATCCATTAATGATGATTATTCATGTAGAAAGTGTCACAACTGTGGTGCAAATTTCATGGTGCAGATTTGTGTGTTTTCTGCTAACAAAAGAATATGTGTTGAAACTCTTATTCAACACTTTAAACCAGACCTGGGCATTTTAAGGCCCCATCTGGCCCCTTGTGAGGTCCGTCAATCAAATCATCAACATGCTATACAAGTGTGTTGCTTTTATTTTGAAAACCTAGCCTTTGTTTTATTTGCATTTGGCACACATGCTTGCATCCTGGATCTGCATTTGTGAACAGAGACAAGGTTAAACATCGGCAAAATATACGTGGACGCCTCATAGTTGCCAAGTCTGCTTGTTATAAAAGACGAGGCTTGTTTCTCTCAGAAGTCGCTTGTAAAACTCGTGAGCCGCGGGTGCGCTTTTTTAGGCTTGTTTTTAACTAGTAGTTGCTTATTTGGGCTTGCTCTTCTGTATGTGTGAACCCCCGTGATTTGAAGTTTAAGTTATTGTTGGTTCGGCCCTCCAACATAGTTCAGGTTTCTCATGTGGCCCCATGTAAGAATCAATTGCCCACCCTTGCTTTCAACCATCAATCATAATGCCAATACAGTTACCATATGGTTAGTTTTTAAAACATAATATGGTTATATGTTTGTTTCAAACAGCTGCATGAGTTGAAAATAGTCTGAAATGCAAGGAGGAAGGGTGCAACTATACAACAAAAAGGATTATCTGTTTGGATCCTCATGAGCAGATCCTTCAGTGAGATGATCTCATTTTTGTGTGCTGTTTTATTGCTACTTGTCCAATAAAGAAAAGGAAAATTTGAAAGAAAAAAAAAGTAATATTTCAAACCCCATAAACTTTCTACAGCAATTCCTCGGCTACTGTTTGGACTGTGGTTCAGTGGTTGGTGCTGCTGCCACACAAGGAGAGAGAGTTCCTGGTTTGAATGCTGGCGACAGGGCCTCTCTGTGTGGAGTGTGTTCTTCCTGTGCATGCGTGGGTTTCCTCTGGGTGCTCCAGCTCCCTCCTGCAGTCGAAGCACATGCTTGTTGGGTAACTCTAAAGGAGAAAAAACTTTGAAGAGCTGCTTTTTTGGTACGCTACATGTTAATAGTGGAATGGTGTCACAATATTTGCAGAATTCACACTTAAACAACAGAGGAATCAGTTTATTATTTCAAAGCTCTAATGTCACACATATTAGCAGCAGGATATGCAACTTCAGCTCCATTTATATACTGTGTTTCAACATAATGGAAACACTGAACCCATCAGGAAATCACATGATCCCCCTAAGCATGAAAATATGTGGAATGTGTCATGGAAGCACACTTAGAGACAATGTTTCTGCAGCAGTCTTTACAGAGAGAAGGCAACAGTGTTTGGTCTTCAGATTTAGCGGTGTAACAAACACACAGTTTCTCATTTTGGACTTCCTGGTTGTTTCCATCCACGCTCACGTGCGTCCAAATCCGCTTGACGCACCAGTCCCGATAAGGCACATTTCCTGTCAGTCTACTGAACACAAACCGTATGCCAAACGGTCCGTTGGAGGTCCGCAGGAGATAAGAGTGTGGTGGGTGGTAAAAAGAACAACATAAGACATGATCTCCATCATGCGACGCTGTCTTAAAACGTGTCATTCCGCCTCCGCGCGTACCAACCCAGGAAGGCGCAGAAACCCACCACGGTCACGATGGTACCCAGGAGCAGGGCCAGGGCGTCCCCCGCGTCGTAAGCCTCCGCCGGGGGAACCACAGAGAGGAGTAAGAGTCCCACAAACGCCGCTGTAAGTTGGGAAGCCATGTTGAGATTTTATTCTGCTGTTGCTGTTGACTTTCGGGAAGCTGGAGCGCCTGCGTCAGAGGAAGATACTTCCTGGTTCGCTCAGCCAATAAGAGAGCTCCCTTATCATGACGAGTGCCTTCTGTTTTCCTTTTTTTTTTCTATTAAAAAATATTCACTTCATGTTTTAACACATTCCTCTTATTTCTTATTTCTCTTATGGCTCTGTAACAATTTGAAATTTAAGCTGTTACTTTTAGACTTTAAGAAAAATGTGATTGTCCAGGTTCACTGCAGATTTTTGACATGACTCCTCTTTAGAGTGACATTTACACTGACAGACCATCAATGTCCCTCCTTCTCAGACACAGCTGCAGACTGAAGACTAATGCTGCAACAATCTGCTCCTCCTTTTTCCCGTCCAAGTTTTGCAGTAGTTGTTTGGATGTTGATGCTTTGTGTTTGCTTGTGTTCAATCCAGAAAATCAGTTTTAACATTAACCCTAGTACACTATAACTAAAATTAGTAAAACCATCACTATCGATTTTTACCCGAAATAATATACCAAAAAAAGTACTTGTCATCATGTATATCAAAATAGGGCAATACATGACAAATTGAAATAGTTCTCTATTATTTTCAACTTGCAATGGAGGGGAAAAAGTGCCATGAGGTGGCCACATAAAATGCAACAAAATAACTGAAATTAGGCATTCATGAACAAAAAAAAATCCTAAAAAAAAAAGGTATTTAGAAACTGTAAACTTAGTTTTTAAACTAAAACTTAGTCTTTTCCACCAATTCCTGGGGCATGTTAGTCTTTCCTGGTGAAGACTCAGGGTCCTTGGCACAATAACAGCTGCAGGAGAGAGAACCAAAATATTGCATATTTTGAGTGAGTAAAAATGACCAGCTTAGTAAAATATTTCTTATCACCATATAAATTCCCTTAAAAATCACTACTTTGTGATAGTTATTCATAACCACTGCGCTACAAAAAGATAGCAGGACCACTCTTACTGACCTTATTTGCCTACTTGCAGCTATCAAATCCACCCAAACCTACTTACCCTCTATCACTATTGCTGAGTGAAAATCACCCAAACACGTGCCTGTAGGAAAAAGCAGGTTTTGGATCAAGGAAACAAATATGCCCTCAAAGATGTCAAAGGCAATGCTGAAGCTACCCACATACCCATGATACTCAATGGCCTAGCTGTTTGCAAGCTCTCTACTCTCTCTTGCTCTTTCTCTGTGCTTTCCAGGGGCACTTCACCTGTAATCTAATTAGAGCGCACAAGTCAAAGTAAAATATTGACCTTGTAAGGCTGCCATGCTTCTGTACCTTTCTGCTTCAAGCAGGGAGATGAATAGGCATACTTATGGCTTTCTCATCACACTCGCTCTCTTTCTTGCTTCCGTTGTCTCTTTGGCAATTTGTCTGAAACAGAAGCTTTTCTGAGCTCTGTGTGATCTCCATGGCTGCATTTGGCAGACCACATGGCCCAGTGCAAGCCTTTCAAAGGGCTTCTTATTTATAACATTACTCACACCGAACATCCGATTCTGCTACTCCCCATGTGTGTTTTCTTTGATGATATATTTGTTCCCTAAACTCAAGAAACTTAGCCGTTTTACACCATGGCAGAAGCAGCTCTTGGATTACAGTGACTGATCAGAGGGAATATGAGAGGATTTTCAGAAATAAAAGTGTTTGTCCAACAGACCTGAACAGTGACATTAATCTTCGCTACTAATGTGTTCTGCATCATAATTTGCTGCTCAGCATCAGGAGGATCTGCCCTGATATAGCAGCTCACACACACACTCAGTACAAACATTCATTTTTTAGTGTAGAAAAATAGCTGTTTCTCTGTTTAACTGTTACTTAAATGACACCAAAGGTTTTGTGCAGATAACCAACATCTACTGGTTCCTAACAGATCTTGGTGAATTATTGCTGAAGCTCCTTATGTAAATGCTGAATGTTGTTTCCCATAGTTGTAGCACAAGGTGAGCTCAAGTCCCAACACTTAAGCACATTATCAATGCCAAAATAGCTAATCTTGCTTATCTAAGCTTGCACTTTGCACTTCTTTACCATCGTCTGTTTTGCTATGTTCTGTCACAATAAAGATATCACTCAATACCAATGTCACTCTGAACCTAAATTTGACACCTTCTGGATAATTAATTTTATGTTATGAAGGATATTGGCACAAATCAAAACAAACTCCAATGATATGTACATGGATTTTAAGTACAACTCAATTCCAAGTCAAAGCTTTTATGTTGTTGCATTACCGGGGACTTATTTTCTTGCTCTTTTGACCTGCATGGTTATTTCTTGCCTTGAGTTGAGTTGGCTATTTCAGCACTTTTAAACTAAACATTTCACTTGTTCGTTTAAGTGAGGGACTCCATACTGAGTTATCTGTCCTCAATGCTCACAGGTCACATAAACTGAAAGGCCAGTTTTCAGAGACCTCGGTTTTGTGAGCATCCATTCTCAATTACTCCTTACAAGAATGAGGACACAGCAAGTTCCACCTTCACCAACCAGCACAAAACATCTCTCCCTGAAGATTAATTATGTTCTGAAATTGGTTTCTCAGAAAACACTGAAAAGCTGACCCTTTAAAGCAATTGCTGCTTTTGTAGTGCTTCAGCACACCATCCGTAATGAATTGTACTGTGAGGGACATGACAAATGGATTTTCCTGTGTCTTTTGTGGCAGTGTGCGAGATGTTGAAATACTTAAAGAGGACCTAAATCAACACCAGGAAAGAAAAAAAAAGAAGGAAAAGGTCAGCTGGGTTCTGTGCAACACGGTGTTGGACCACACTGACTCACACTCTGATTAGGGATGTGGACTAGGTTGATTGAAACCAACAAAACCTTCCAAAAGAATAGATGTATCAGCGTAATTACCCATTCATATTGGAAGTAGAGAGGGAGTGCGAGGGTGGATGCTTGAAAATCAGACATTTAGTGTTGGACTGACAGTTGTATAATGCTTTAAAGGGTAATCAATTCATCCTTGTTTTTATTGCTTTGTGTTTTCCAGAGACATGAATTTACCAAAGAAAATCTGTCACAGTGAATATTTAGTCCTTTTTTATAAGATGTGGTGTGTTTGTTATTATCACATGATACTCAGACCTTCATGATGCATTCAAGTGATATTTTAGAGCTGTCGAATAGTATAGCTATTTCACAGAAAAATCAATCTTAGAGCAAAACCCTCACAATACTGCAAAGCTCCTCCGCAAGATGGTATCCAAGAAAGTTTGAGAAGATATTTGATGATTTGCATTTTAACCACAAGCAGGTTTCTAATCAGTGATTCTCTTAAAAGAGAAATCAACTGACTCAAAGTTTATATTTTCTGGAAACTGGCAAGTTATGTTTCTGTCGATATGAAAATGTGATAAATAGTTATCAAGTGAGTTTGTATGTGTTTGAAAAGGGATTTGTTTATTTAAGATTTGGTGCAGGGCAGGCTAGGTACATTAAATGTCCTTCTATAAAAAGTTTATTTTTAATCTTTTTTTATTATCATTTTTTTTTACTGTGAGTCAAATATATGTTTGTAGAATCAAGATGTTTGCTGAGTTCAGTTAAAATTGATTTCTTGGACTTCGTGTAGGCTGGGGCTGTCTTAATACATCGCTATTGGAGATAATCATGGTCCTGTCTGTGTAACTTAACTTCTGACAACAATGTAGATAAGATTACAAAGAACAGCATTTCCTGAGCTAACCCAATAAAGTAAAATCTGTTTGTGGTCACTAAGACCAGCTACATGAATATCTTTGAAAATGAATCTGCCAATGCAGATGCAGCTTTGAATTGGGTCAGCTACCTAACATTGTAGAATATCATTATATGACACGGTATTTCATCACAAAAATACTAAAGTTTTAATTGTGTTTCTGCATCATGTAATCACTGTTGTTGTAGCCAACGTCTTATCCCCCGAATGACTCAGCCCGCTGTCAACACAAGCGCGGGTTTTTCATCCAACTGTGTTGCTGTCAGAGTCAGCAGGCAGCACTGATTCGACACAAAATTAGCAACCTTCTCTCCACAGGTTCCATGTCTAGTTTTAACTCTAAACACACTCCACATGGTTTATTTAGTGTGGCATATGAGTCAAACACAGCTGCGTCATCTCATTACAGTAGATGTTAAAAAGAGTAACTCAGGATATGCAATAATCGTTGCATATCGCTGTGATTTTCTCAATAGAGTTTTTTTTTTAGGAAATTAGTGTAAGCAGAATTAATCCTAGCAGTATCCTGGGCATGTTGAATGCCTATAAAGGCTACCATCCAATTAAGCTGATTTATTACACTGCATATAATGGAGAAATGAGTCAGTTTGGGAGAAAACCTCAGTCCAAGTTTTTCTAAGAAGTGACTCTTTAAGAAGAGGATACTTTAGTGTTCATGTGTAAGATGAAGACTCTGCAGTGATGTATTTCCCTTTTTTGAATTATGGATTTATAGTGTTTTATAGTTTCATTTCATCAGCATCTGCTTCACTGGTGAGCCTCTCCAAAACAAAATAGATGAATGCCTTTGGAAAAGATAGAAAACCAGAACTGATTTACTCAAGGTGATCACTTTTTCTTCAGCAGCACATTAATGTGTTCCCCTTCGTCAAATATGGCCGACAGCAGGGTACATCACCGATATTCATGGCATGTGTGCACATGTATATGCATGGGAGATTGATAGCTCATCACATTTCCTGTCATGGTGTAAATGTCACCTCTGCGGCTTGAAATGATGAACGCAATCATCTGGTTGGTTCATCATAGACGGAGTTCATTTCCATGGAAGTGTTAGTCCAACACACACAGACGCACACAGACGGTGGCCTGAAATGAAGAAAGGTAGTTGTCACAGGTAAAATGACTGATAGAGCCAGAGACATGGCATCATAATGTTATTTTCATACTGTAGAGTATCTGATGCAACATTAGATCATTAAGTGTTCACATCTGTTCAAAGTTCAGTTAGCTAAGCACAAACACTGGGAGCTAAGGTAAACAACCAACAAGCACAACACTCAAAAGTCACTTCACACAGCCAAAACACACTTTAGCATGTCTTTTATAAACATGTAGTTTGTCTGTATTTCCTGCTAGGTGTATCAAGCTATTTCCACCACGTTGGCTGAGCTAATCAAAACACCAGGAAGCGAAAAAATCAGATTAATGTAAAAACTAGCTTATTTACAGTTTCTGGACGTAACAGCATAGATATTTTTACTGCTTGCTAGCAGTAGACCCTTATTTTCAGAGTGTGCTCATTTCTAAATGGCTCACAGTAGCCATGTTTATATTTGCAAAATTTCTTGATCCGATTAAAAATATTAGGGATCGAATAATCTGAATACACTGTTTGCATGGGTGCAAAATCAAATAATCCAATCATGACATGCGTAAACATGCACCATTCAGATTAGAGGCATTTGGACAAGCGCAGAGTTGTCTGATTTCGCTTAAACAACCGCAGAAGAAAGGTTGTATTTACGCCTGTGCTGTCAACAAACCAACAAACGTGGTAGTGGCTCACTCTATCCAATTCAGGATGTTTCCCTCCGTTAAATGTTGTCACTAGATGGCGCCCTTGCGTACTTATTTTACTATTCTGTCAAAGGTTGCTCTGTTCCTGCAGATGTGACATCATTACGCCTTGTTATGTTATTGGAGGAGCAGGCATGGCATCTGCGGTTGTGTTTTATGCCAGAGTGTTAATAATGAAACCTCCTGTACTGACCTCAATAAATAAGCCAAAGGCTAAAGAGTGAAGATCGAGTCAGGTAAGAGAGTCATAATCGGAATAAGTGTTAACATTGACGCGTTTCGGAATAACAATTGCCATAAACCACCCCTCTTGATCGGAATACAATTTATTTCCGACTGAGCCGAATTGGATCAGAATCTTCTGCTCAAAATGTTTACATGACACATTTTTATTCCAATCGGGCATTTATTCAGATTATTTGTGCCCATGTAAACGCAGCTAATGAAAATATAGACCATGAAAATCAAAGATCTCTGTATTTGCAAACCTAAAGAAACACATTTAGCTAACAAAGAAAGAAGTTACAATATTCCTACTAATCAGAGTTGGAGTCTCCGATTTGATTAGATTGATTTGTGTGCAAAACCAAATTGGCCCCAATATTTGATCAGGGAAATTGTCGCTGTGCTAATTCAATATTTTTCCAACTGCTACAGTGTGCACTGGAAATGCTAACACACAAAACGAAACCAGCAAACATGGAGAAAATCTACTCTGATAAAAGCCACTTGGGTAACTTTGTCATCACAAGGGCTTTAGCCTGCTGAGGAGGACACTTAGTAAAGCAGCACCCTTATTTGTTTGCCCAATGGGAAACAAATTGGTGCCTCCATCTGCAGTAATGTTAAGTTCTCCACGCAGCTGTGAGCTGACTTTATATTTCTTTCATTTGTAGGCTGCCTAAACTGCATCTTTTTCATGCTGATTTCAACTAAGTACTGGGAATTTTACAACCTAGCTGCAGAGAAAGGCCTCAGAAAAAGCACTCTGGCAAAGGTGAAAGCAAAGGAGGAGAAAATAAATTAATATGGCTCAGCTGCACAAAGGAACTATTTGAAAGACACGAATAACCTCAGTATGAATAGACACTTCGGCTTTGATCATGAGCTGCAACTGATTTCTACAAACCTTGATCTGCTAAAATATATGCCAAATATCTACATATTGATAAACTGAGTGCTTTTTAATATTCTCTGTTGTAGCTGCTGTACCTGTGCACTACAGCAGCTCGATCTGGACGCCCTCGCTGCCCATCCTCTCATGCATCACGTCAAATCACCACCGTAAACAACTAATTAAGTGACCTATTTATCTGGGCCGATTCTGCTGGCTCACTCCTCCCAATTACTTTGAGGGTGGAATGTCCATTCTGGACCACTTCACATTGGTTTACACTCAGATCGATACTTCTGCAGAACCAGAGAGCGCTTCCATGTGCCAGACCTCTCATGTCCACACAAACATGTTATGTAATATGATGGCGTATTGTAGGGAGAGTGTGAGGCTGTACATGTGCTATTTTCAGAGGCAGAAAAAAAAAGAAAAGTTCACATAACTTTGCTGCCTTTTTGTTGTTTTAATGAGTTATTTCAGAGGTGGTTGGAAACATGTGGCTCAAAAGCTTCCAGACAGAAGAGAGAATTGTCTGCATCTGCACGGTATGTCTTCATGCGCCCATATTAATATGAACTCTTCTGAGTGCAACGGCCCGGGCTGAAGAATGCTCCAGGACGTCAGTTCCATTTACTTATGAAGTTGTACCAGTGCATTTTCTGCAATTGAGCCGTCAGCGGCTGTCAGTCAGGGGAAATTAACGAGTCTGCTGATTGCACTGCTGGTAATTACAGAGTGCAGCTGGAGCACTGCTGTGTCAAGCCTGGGAGATATTTAAAGCTTACGTCTGTCCTTTCTCCCAACAGCCAGGTCAAGTAATGCTCTGCAGAGGATCAGCTGAGGCTCTCACTGACTGCAGCGGATGTGTTTAACCAACAAGAGCAGCTTGTGGTTAGAGACATGGTGCCACACCAGACAGTCAAAGGTTCATTACTGTCAGTGGCCTTTAACTACACACTGAAATCCTCCATGTTTGCCTTACAAGTCAACTATGTGTTTTAAGTCAATAAATTAACTTTGCAACACCAATCCATCCTTACGAGAACAAGTTCAATGCAGTATGACACAGTGCTGCAGTCATGCTCAAGAATCTCTGTTTTTTGTCAGTACGAGCTTTCATGTAGTTTGTCTCTGAGATTTGGAATAAGGCCTCAGAGTCTGGTCTTTGTTTGTAGACCAAATACTGTTGTCTGCAGTCATTGGCTGTGAGCCGAAAAACAGTCTTAGAGGACTGTAAAAAAAAAAAAAAAAAGTTTTGTAGTTCCAATTGGCTTTAATCCAATAAAGGTTCAGCCTTTTATTGAATGTCTATAAACAAATATTTTCATTTAAGTGTAATCAGGTTTGGATTTTTTCTCTCCGTTCTGTCTTGTTATGTGTGGGACAGTAGAGAAAGTAAATCAAAAAAGGAAGACGGAGCCAAGATATTTTGCAGCTGACTATACTGTCAGCCCTGAAAAAATAGGCCATTGCTCAATATTTTCAGAACCCTATTTTGAGACAAGACTCCAACACCTGCTCACCATTCATGGTCCTGCTCATGCAAGCTACAGGCATAAAAAAGCTGACGCAAAATATCAAAGTAAAAACTTAGTTCATGTTTAAAGTTCACAAGTTCATGATCCAAAGTGAACTTGTTTATGCTCATTTGGTTTCAGCTGCACCTAAATATCGATCAGCAGGACCGTCTTGGCTTCAGTCTCCAATTCCAGATCACTGACAGTTACTAAACTGAAGGATAATCAAATTCTAAAGTAGTATTAAAGATAGATAGGAAATCCATTCCAATGTGTTTTAACAAACAAGCGTCCTCTGTATTTTCTGTGTGATTTTCTGTGTGATTTTCCATTAGTTTTTCTGTTCCCTATTGTTTCTGTTCCCCTGTAGTCCAGTCTTGTACGTTTTTAGGTTGTGTTTGACCCTGTTTCCCTCCTGTTCTCTGTGTTTTATTCTTTATATCAGTTTTCAGTGTTTCCTGTTTTATTTTGTAGTAGTTGATTCCTTGTGTTTCTTGTCTGCTTTTACTTCCCTAGTTGAGTTTCACCTGTGTCTCGTTTGCCTCACCTGTGTCTCGTCAGCCTCACCTGTTGCTCGTTTCCCAGTGTGTATATAGTCCCTGTCTTCCCCTCTGTCCTTGTTGGTTCATTGTATATACTGTATATTGATGTGTATGCTTGTGTCCCCTGTTGCTCCCTGTGATTCTGCCTCAGTGTTTTTTTGTGGGTTTTGTCTTGTGGATTATTCTCTTTTTATTTTTTTTTTCATTTAGTTCTTTTAAT